TCCTTCCTTCCTTCCTTTCTTTTTGTGCCAGTCCTGAGGCTTGAACTCAGGGCTTAGGTACTGTCCTTGAGCTTTTTAGATCAAGGCTAAGACTCAACCACTTGAGCCATACTACCACTTCTAGCTTTTTGCTTATTAATTGAAAATAAGAGTTCCATAGACATAGTACCCAGGCTGGCTTCGAATTGCACTCATGAGACCTCAGCTAGCCAGGATTATAGAAGTGAACCACTGGCACTTGGCTGAAGTTTTATTTTCAAGCAATGTTTATTAAAAGAAGAATTCTGGATTTTTCAGGCTTCAGATCAGTTGTAGAGCTGGGAGGTTGGAAGCCAGAGTTATATCTAAATGCTTTTCATTGACAATTTGGGGGAATGTGATCAATTACCAGTATTGTGTTTTGTTCTTCCCTTACCTATTTTTCCCCCCACCAGTTTAGAGCTCAAGATACATTTCTTTTCACACTCTACTCTTTCGTATTCACCTTTATGACCAAAATGCATTCATGTAATGTTGTCCGAATTTTCAACAATACATTCCTTTAGAATTTCCACATCATCTTGTCTGTTTAGTGTCTTCTATAAAGACTGAGAATTTCAGCTGAGAAAAAGTATTTCAACTGTTACATGAAATCTTTCCTAAATACTGATCATAAATGAAGGAGATATTTCACATAACAATTGAAATATTTCCTCTTCAGCTATTGGCTCAAGCCTTTACATTATGTCATTGGAAGAATATCATATGGTGTAATTGCTTTGCCACTGGTATTGACGTACATTGATTTATTTACTTTCCCATTTATTTGTGTCAATACTGGGGCTTAAACTCAAGACTTTGTGCTCTTGCTTGGCTTGTTTCTGATCAATATTGGCACTTTACCACTTGCCACACCTTTAGCTCTAGATTTTTTTTGCAGGAAGTAAGATTCTGTGACCTCGCTTCAAACCTCAGTCTTCAGATGTAAACCTCCTGTTTAGCCAGGATTACAGGTGTGAGCCACTGGTGCTGGGGCTGCTGATCGTTCTCAAGACAATCTTTAAATTAAACATTGGTGCTTGTAGTGTCTGGTTTTGAATCATCTGCACAGCTCTGCCTTGTAGGATATGGTCATTTCTTCCTTTACTGAAGCATTTTTTTGACATTGCCTGTAGAAGATGGCCTGGTAAGTTCTGAAGTTCTAACATGACTTTCCCAGGGAATCCTTCATTCCTGAACTGTGTCTCCATGTGAATCCCAGGGGGTGCAGGGCTGTTCCCATCTCTTCTCTCTCCCGGTTGGACTGGGCTTCATTGCCCCTTAATCCTTCACCATTCATGGATGCAGCAGGCCATCCAGCGGTGTTATAATGTCACCCACGAAGGTAGATGCTGTCATGGCCTGGTCACCCTGGGTGGCCTTTTGGGGCACAAAGCACTCTTATAGAACCAGCTAAGAAGTATTGTGCAGAGCCCTTAAGAAACAGATAACCACCTAAAAATTCAAGAGAAATATCCCAATTGTGGGTGGAATTTTTTTATATAGGAAAATACAAAATCTATTTAAGTCTGGATCAAATTCTTGTGATGGTGTTATCTGTAACATACTCTAAAGTAAGTGTTTATCTCCACACCAGGGAAGTTAGGAACAGAACAGAAC